ACCAACAGCTGTGTCTCTGGACACTGGTTTCGTGACCTTCCAGTTTTATTTTGGTAATGTGTTTAATTCTTTTTTTCCTAATTTTATCCTTCAATCTTATATCTTTTTGTCTTTGTAAATATTGTTTAGTTTGAATGAGGTGGACAGAAGTAGTCTGAAGTCGCTTTTTTTCTAAGATTTTATTAAAAGAGTTGGATATATTAAAGTTGAACATAATTAACCTATGCTGGCCAGGTTCAGGCTGCTCCCACCCAGGCTCCATTCTCCATGGGACGAGCAGGATGTATATATATATATATATATATATATATATATATATATATATATAATCTAACAGTCCAAAAAAGTTTGATAAATAAAACCATTGACTGTGGCTCAGATGTTTGTTTTTAATCTAAAGAAAGAGGGTTTCATTCAAGCCTCGTTCTGCCACATGTTGATGGACCCTTGGGCAAGGTATATTCAGTTTCCAGTTGCCTATGTTGAATTTCTTTGAGTGGTCAGTAGGAGCAGAATATGGATAAAAACATTAAGCTTCTTTCATTATTTAATGAATTCTGTTGTTAGTGCTTTTTTTTTAGTCTGTGCTTGAAAAAAAAATCATCCCTCTTATTACTAGTATCTTCCTTTTTTAACACCGTGTTCAGTTAACAATGGAAACTGTCTACAGCTCTGCTCTTTCTCCTCAAAGTGCAACCAGAAATCTAATTGGACACAAACCAGAACCTTGTGCCACTCTAGAACCGATTCCCTTTGCAGACCTGTAGAGGTTGAACCAGTTACTGATTTCTTTCTGTTTTTGCACACTGATCTCTTACTGGCACTTACTTTTACCAGCTGAGGCAGATTCCTGCAAAACAAACGTCCTTCACGATGAGAAAGGGTGACTAATTCACTCACTTTAGGATGTTTGATTTTTTTAAGGGTTCAGGAACAACCCCAAATTAGCTGAGAGATTGATGAGATTGTTTCAGCACTTAGACACCTGGTACTTCACACACATTCCTGTTCCCTGACACCCTGTCACTATGTGTCTATTTGGATCCTCTGCAGAGGGAGACAAAACACAGAGAGATAGAGACGGGTTTGGAGAAATGTTGATCAAACTTCCACCAGAGGCTCCTCTTCTCCTCTGTGTGTCTGTGTTCTGTCTAAGGGACAGGATCCAGAAAACTGTTGTTTGATCCAGAAAACTGTTGTTTGCTCATTAAAGGCTGCACCAGCAGGCCAATATAGACACACAGCAGAGTGGAATGTGTCATATTTTGTACCTGTATGTACCGCAGTCTGTGTGTCTTTCTGTTTGGTACTGTAACCAGCTGGACCGAGCGACTGGAGTCCAAGTGCAAATGATTATTATCTGAGCTCTGCATATAGCTTAATGTTATGTGTTTCTATGCACGTAGATCTGGATGAGTGTGAGTAGAGGCAGCATCAGTGACAGCAGAGCTGCATTAACACATTTGGTGTAGCTGTCATGTTTGGTACTGACCTGCCCCTAACAGATCTTCCTGCACTGTTAGGCCTGTGGCTGTTTGCTCCTCCACAGTTGTTTGTTTGTTGTTTTAGCTTTAAGGATCATGTAATAAGAACAGAAGAAGGAATCGCGTTTCTATGTAGAATTAGAATACAACTTACCAGGATCCTACAGATGCTCATGCTTATCTGGCTACATCGTAGCAGGTGATGGTCACAGTTTCATTGCATTGTGTCCTGGATACAGGAAACAACTGGTCCCACCATCTGAGAATTTAACTGGTGTGTGTTGGCAGTTTATCAACCTGCCAGGCTCCCTGCGCTGAATCTGCCCCAGAGGATACACACTGGAAAGAGACAGGTGAGGCTGCAAAGGTTGGTGTTTCTCTGCATCTTTAGGGAACACACTTAATACCAGGTAGGGTACATCTAAATCATTATGGCAAATATAACAAAATAGTTATTTTTCTGAAATTACAAAAATGATGCAACACAGCACTTAACATGTTTCAGTAAAAGAAATAAAAATAAAAAATAAATATATATATATATATATATATATATATATATATATATATAGCTATATATATAGCTATATATATAGCTATATATATAGCTATATATTTGGTGAATATATACACTATATTGCCAAAAGTATTTGCTCACCCATCCAAATTATTGGAATCAGGTGTTCCAATCACTTCCATGGCCACAGGTGTATAAATTCAAGCACCTAGGCATGCAGACTGTTTTTACAAACATTTGTGAAAGAATGGGTCGCTCTCAGGAGCTCAGTGAATTCCAGCGTGGAACTGTGATAGGATGCCACCTGTGCAACAAATCCAGTCGTGAAATTTCCTCGCTCCTAAATATTCCACAGTCAACTGTCAGCTGTATTATAAGAAAATGGAAGTGTTTGGGAACGACAGCAACTCAGCCACGAAGTGGTAGGCCACGTAAACTGACGGAGCGGGGTCAGCGGATGCTGACGCGCATAGTGCGAAGAGGTCGCCAACTTTCTGCAGAGTCAATCACTACAGACCTCCAAACTTCATGTGGCCTTCAGATTAGCTCAAGAACAGTGCGCAGAGAGCTTCATGGAATGGGTTTCCATGGTCGAGCAGCTGCATCCAAGCCATACATCACCAAGTGCAATGCAAAGCGTCGGATGCGGTGGTGTAAAGCACGCCGCCACTGGACTCTAGAGCAGTGGAGACGCGTTCTCTGGAGTGACGAATCGCGCTTCTCCATCTGGCAATCTGATGGACGGGTCTGGGTTTGGCGGTTGCCAGGAGAACGGTACTTGTCTGACTGCATTGTGCCAAGTGTAAAGTTTGGTGGAGGGGGGATTATGGTGTGAGGTTGTTTTTCAGGAGCTGGGCTTGGCCCCTTAGTTCCAGTGAAAGGAACTCTGAATGCTTCAGCATACCAAGACATTTTGGACAATTCCATGCTCCCAACTTTGTGGGAACAGTTTGGAGCTGGCCCCTTCCTCTTCCAACATGACTGTGCACCAGTGCACAAAGCAAGGTCCATAAAGACATGGATGACAGAGTCTGGTGTGGATGAACTTGACTGGCCTGCACAGAGTCCTGACCTCAACCCGATAGAACACCTTTGGGATGAATTAGAGCGGAGACTGAGAGCCAGGCCTTCTCGTCCAACATCAGTGTGCGACCTCACAAATGCGCTTCTGGAAGAATGGTCAAAAATTCCCATAAACACACTCCTAAACCTTGTGGACAGCCTTCCCAGAAGAGTTGAAGCTGTTCTAGCTGCAAAGGGTGGACCGACGTCATATTGAACCCTATGGATTAGGAACGGGATGTCACTTAAGCTCATATGTGAGTCAAGGCAGGTGAGCAAATACTTTTGGCAATATAGTGTATATTCACCAAACACAACAGCGCCCTCTAGCGGATGAGCTCTCCAATACGCCTGCTAAAAAAAAAAAAAAAGGCTGGTCACCGTCTGTCTCCTCATTTTAGGAAGAAATGGGAATTCTATAAACTCATTCATAAAACCAGTTTAAATTCATTAGGGAGTTGATTTTGATAGTAGATCCTTAAGTAGATCAGCTGTCTTAAGGCAGATGAACTGTAGTTTTGATTTTTAACTTCCTCCTGTAATGTATTGATAGTGTCTGGATGAAAAAAGAAAAAACAAGATGCCTACCAATCTGTCTCTAAATTAGATCTTGTTTTTTCAAGTCCATGTTGCTGTAAGCTGTCTGGATGACTATAAAGGTGGAAATCAGATGATTAATTTACCCTCTGTAATTTGTGCAAAATGCAGAGAGGAAGAAATAATCCTTCAAGGATTCTCCTAAAATAGCTGCAAGAAGAAATTAATCTATTTGTGGCCTTTTAATTACTTTAACTAATTTAAGATACATCCGTGTGTAATAATAGTCCTGTACCTTTGTTATACTATTATACATTTTTAATCACTTTTAGTTCAATTCTCAGGAGCAGCTGCATTTTTATTTTATGCCAGAAAAATACTATTCTTTAGTTTAAGTGAAAAAAAAAATCTTGATTTGGTTAAAAGACTACCCTTCAGTGATGTTTTTTTATTTCCTCATTAGAACAGAAACTTTATCTTGTAATGTAATAATAATAATAATCTGTCTTTAATGGTTTTTTGATGCTATTATCCTTCACCATGTATATGTTTAACTAGCCAATGTTGTATTCTTTCTAACAAGGATGGGAGAGTAATTTCAGCTGTTTCAGTTTTTTTCTGATACTTCAATTTTGTAAATTTCAATTTGAAGCTTAAGAGGTGCTGTATGTTTCAAATTTTCCCTTGACATTTTTTTTATTATTATTGTCAACTGGAACAACTTACAATTCTTGGTTCCTGTTTTTTTTATTTTTTTTTTTTACTTTGTCTGAAACCTTTCATATATTAGGATAGGGAATAAAATACGGGGGGATTGGATCGACATTTTTTTTCTATTTTGATAATTCTTCATAGCGTATTCATTCTTCAAAGGTGCTTTGATTTGCTTTTCAAGACTGTGTTGGACCAGTAGTAAGCATGACAGCCAGTATCTTAAATGTAGCCGTTAAAACCATTTGTAGACCTTCAAAACTTTATTTATTAATTTTATGGAATTAAGAGTTTTAAACAAAGACAAGACAAAGATAAACTTGAGCTGCTTGCTTTTCTTTGTATTGAAGGGTGAATGTGGCTCTAATGTAAACGGCGCAAAGCAAGCAGGATGACTGAAAAAATTTGTTAAATCCACTTCCTGTTCTAAGCCAAAAAGCTGTAAGGAGCTGGGGGGCCTGTTGATGCCTTTTAACTTTATTGCACATCTGATGAAAGTGTGCTAAAATACGATGCAACTAAACTGCTCCAAGTGAGACACTTAGTGAAGCCGCTCAAACTTCACACTTAAGGACAAACAGCTCATCTACTAATTTTTATGTGACTAAGCTCTATTTTCACCCTTTTCTTTCCAGTCGTGTTGCAGTAGGTAGGGAATTGGACATGCAAAGCGTAGGCAACAAGAAGAATCCAGGGGGTTAAAGTGTTTAATTCAGACAGAATGCACCAGAGTCTGGATCTGTCGGTGCTTATTCACAGTCAAAGGTGCATGCAATCAACACAGATGTCCTGCTTTATAGTTAATTTAAAAGACAATAAAATATGATTAAACTTGTTACCATCTGCTGTTAATAACAAAACTATATGTTCCATTTGAATTAATACCTTCTGGAGGATTTTGTAAGGAATAAAACATGATCCTTCAAATGAAATAAAGTTGGAAGATGAGGTAACATTCAACTCCAGCAGTCTTCAATCAGAACCCTTTAAAAAACTAGGTTCTATGATAACTAAATGTATTCATCTCCACCGTTATAAGTCACCCTTCCTCTTACCAAAACAATAAAATTAAAAAAGTGCTAAGCAGAAATAAAACAAAACTGATTGAGGAAGTAAATAAATAATTGATTTGGTGGAGATGAGTATATTGCACAAGTATGGATTACTTATCAGTAGTCTAACATTTGAAGTTAAATTAAAATAATTTAAATAGTTTATAAATGACCTAAAAGCACAGATCTGTGCTTGTATTGTTACAAATTTGTTTTTTAAAGACTTTAAAATGCCAACACATATTTGAGCAGCTCTGGCAATCACAGTGGAGACAACCAAAGGCATGATTAGCTTCGTACAAGCTGCCAGGGCTGCGTTCTTACATGAGAGCTACTGTTTACTGGATAGGTCACGAAAACCACAGGAGGTACAAATGAAAAGATCGAATGAATCTTTCTGTTACCAAACAGGGGAACAGATAATAGTCTGATTCTTCACTGCATTAGGCAGCTAGAACTTGGCAGGAAGTCTTGGACGTACGTGACCACTGCCTTGGAGAGATAAGTCATGGTACCGTAGCTGCCGCTAGGGGCGCTGTCATAGAAAAAGTTGCAAATTCCAGTGGCTGGGTCCTTCTCGAGGAAATAATCGCTGGCGCTTAGGGATTTCTGGAGATTTAAAAAAAGGATAAATCCATTTAGGCAAAAGGTAAACTTCAGGATTTAGTGTTTCTGGGCCAGTAGCTATTTATTAGTTAGTACCTGGTCATTTAGAAAAAGGTCGTTGGCCAGGTGCAGAATGCGGTCCACGTGGATAATTCCACCGATGCTGGCCACGTCCACATCAGCCACCAGACCCAGAACCATCACAGTCTCCACCAGCAGCTGCCTGTACTCCGGCTGAGGGACGTGGTTCAGGACAGACTCTACTTGCACTGCAAACTTTATCTCTCCTTCGGTCATCTACTCGAAACAAATTCAATAAAATACAGATAAATAAAGACATCAATGCACACCTAGGTCCAGATTCCAACGTTAGCAGGAGCGTGCTACCTCTCTTGTGGTGGAGGATGGCAGCACGTATCCATCAATGGACAGGCCGTGGCACTTCTGCAGAATCTTCCAAACTTTCTGGTAGAAACCCATTGGGACTCTGTTGATGGCTCCATCCAGCCGCCGTCTCCTCAGCCACTGGCCCTGCCTGTCCTCCCAGTGCAGCTGCCCATCTCCCGAGCCATGTCCCACTGGGGACAGCATTCCACTTGGAGTGGAGGGGCTGCTGCAACGCTGTGATGAGTGAAGGACCAGCAGATCACTGTTCTTATTTTCAAGCTTATTTGAGCCCATTAAACAAGTCAGAAGTAACTGCAGTTTTTCCCACAACACTGGGCTAATGTTAGTGCTCCTCGACCGATTTGAGATTGGCGGAGACAGATTCTGTGTGATAAAGAGATTAGTAGCACAGACAGGTTTTTTGTATTCTCTATTTAGCAAGATAGTTGATTTGATTCAGTCCATGCAGTTGTTCATGCTAAATGGGTCACAGTAAAAGAAAAATAAAGATTGAGACTGGCATTATGATGTGCTGCAGTTTTATAAACAATTACAGAAAAATGTACAGAAAAATAGCCAATCATCATTAAGGTACAATCATTATGTGGTATTGTTTCAATACATCATTATAAGAAAATAGATATCTGTTCGTTTCAAATTAGTGGCTATTAATTCCATAATTTCTAATTTGGCCATAATTTGACATATGTTTTCACTAAACTGTTAAATTTCTTTGAGTCCGAATAAAAGTCTATAAGCAAATTAAGATGAGACTGAAACAACATTAAATTTACACCATTTAACAAAACTATTAAAAGTACGTTTTTTCACATTTTGTAAAGCTACAACCAAAAACTTTGGTATATTTTAATGGGTTTTGCTGGACTATATCAAAGAAAAGTAGTTCAGGTTTTGTGAAATGGCACAAAAAATATACATTTTAAAATTCTTGTCCAATAAAATAAAAAAAATGTTCGGAGTCTATTTTCTGTTTCAGTCCCTTGACTCAATACAATGCACATTAAGCTGCAACTTTTGGGGCATTCCTTTTTTTTGGTGACTGAAAGTTTTTTTTTTTAAATAGATCTAGTTCCATCAGATGGAACTAAGAACATGTGCTAGCATCACATTTTTAAGTCTTCCCACAAATTCCCTATACAGTCACATGCCTATGCTTTGAACAAACTATTTTACTGCAGCTCTGGGGGGGAGTTTGGGATGTTACTGAGGAGTTAACCTCCACACTGGCCTCAGGTCTTATACATCTTTTATCAATATCTTAAATCAGGTCTTACAAGGTCTGCCCTGTACTAAATCATCCCCACAGAGTGCTGATGGTGTGAAGTGCAGATCATTTTGCATATATGCCAGAAAGTAAAAAATTGTGACGCACACATCTGCTATTTCTCCTGTCAAAAGAAAGTCAGCATAAGATCTGGTTTTCTGCAGCCTCTCCAGAGCTTCCTGGCTGCCTCTCTGAATAAATCATCTCTAACACCTCTGTTTATTATTTTCCTTCCATCTTACAATAATATTCCACTTTGTGTTGAATTCTCATCTAAAATGGCAGCTTGTCTTTTTAAAGTAATCAATGCAAAACCACTTTTCAGGAAGGGTATCAGTGGAAGGGTATCAATTTTGTTTTTTTCCCCTGATTATATTAAGCATAAGCAGCCAAGAAGCAACCAAGAGAGTTTGATTGAATTCACTGAAAGATGTTATTTAAATCTGGTCTTTATCTCTTTAAATATTAGATCAGGACAAGAAGGAAGATTAAGCCACAAATTATCCATGTTTAAATGTGGGTTTCCATAACGGCCTACTGTAAATTTAGACATGATTTATTAATGAGTTAATCTCAGTAAGACAACCACTGTTTTTAGTTTTGCTTCACTGGTTACTATTGTGCAACTTTTTATTACTATTTAAATAGAGAATATCAGAGAATCTGGGCAATAAAGAAGGATTTTTTAATCATGTAGGAAATTTAATCCTGTCAAAAGTTAGGTGTTTTTTTAAGCTATGCTATGTTAAAAGCTAAACACTGTAGATTGTTCACTTTTAATTTGCTTTGTGTTGCTTTACAGAAAAAACAATAGCAAAAAGCAAATTTCAAAAAGCACAGTACAGGTAAACCTAGAAATGGTTGTTTGGGCATAAATGTTACATCTTAAATGCTTTGCATCTTTTTGTTTTTTTGATACTTGTTCGTATATTTTTATTTTATTTCTGTTTTATTTTAACATATTTAAAAGCAAATTAAAATGCACTGTGTTTAATGTCTTCTGTTGCTGTCACATATAAATCTTTTTAAACTGTCTTTGGATATTTACTTTGGTGAATAAATATCTATACATGCATTGATTTCCGCTGCAATACTAACAAATATTCTTTGATTTCACTTATTTTACATTTAGGCTGAATAAAGTATCTTTAAAATGAACTGAATTAAGGTTGTCCAAATATTTAGGAGGAGCATGTTTCTGAGGAGCTTTACCAACTTTGTCTTTTTGGTTTCCCTCCCTCACAGATACATACTGTGTCCTTTTTCACTAAACCTGTCAGGTTTTCCTCTGAGGTTAAAACATTTTAGGTAAGTTTATTTATAAAAAAAAAAAAAAAGAGAAAGGACTGCTTACATTTTTCCTTTCAAATTTTATACCAATGTATTTACTGCATATTATTAAAATATGATTTCTTTGCTTAATTTAAAAATCTATTTGCAGATGCATTTTGAACTGCTGAACCAACACAGTACAAATAAGAGGCTTAGTTGTTATTCTTAACAAACATATTTTAACAGCCCACAATGATGTGAAGTAATAATGCCATTCTCATCCTTTAATGTGGACAAATCCCCCAGATGTCCAAGTTAAGCATGAAATCATCAAGTATGTGTAGTTTAAGTACATTGTGGCCCTGAAATGGATGACGCATGCCAGTGTGAAGCAGTTGAAATGAAATGGTTTACCGTGGAGCGAGGGGAGGTTACATTGCTATTCAAGGAAAGACCGCCACTGAAGATCTACACATGGGACATGGATAGAGGACAGTCTGAGATGGTTTCCATGGTTTTCATAAGGCAGACTTTGACATGATAGAACAAAACAAGACAAGACAACAGCAAAAACAAATAGAAATACAAGGACAGACTACAGCGAAGCAGAGTATTTCAGGCTATGGTTGGTTAAAGAGCTCATGGGGTTGAAGACATGTTGGCTTCATGTTAAATGGTGTTTAATGAAAACAACAACAAAAACAGACGGATTTAACACGTGTGGAAGAGTTTAAAAGCATGTTTTCCTGCTGATTCGTCGTGAGGAGAGTCCCCTCCAGCCACGGAGGCCACTGTGATACACAAAAATGTTAACAGGCAGCGAGCGACTGGTGGGTAGGATTTAACCGGCGGCTTGATTTTTATTTCAGATCGAGGTTAGAAAAAAAAACATGCTAGAATTTATCAAAGATAACCCACACTGAGAGGACGGGAGCCATCCAGCTGCAATAAGAGGCAAGAACAATATTAGATAGACAGACAGAAACAAACACAAGCAGGCACAAGGACAGACAGACAGACTGACACACACAGACAGGCGGACAGACAGATTGACACAGACAGACAGAAAGGCGGACAGACAGATGGACAGATTGACACAGACAGACAGACATACAGACAGACAGACGTCCTTTTTTCACTCACATGTTTTATCTCACTCTTTAGCTTATGAATCCCTGTGCGTTCAGTCTTTGTGGCCCCTGTGTGGCCCAGTTCATGAATAGAGATTGCAGGACTGGTGGCAGTAGACTGGATGGGTCGCACTAAGAAACAGAAAAAAAAAAAAAAAAAAAAAAAATATATATATATATATAGTTTTGGTTTATAAATGTACTATAAAACCTGAATTGCAGCCACAGAATTATGTAAACTGGACCAGAACCACTGTGACAATACATGTAGCTATTATTTTGAATGTTAACCTTCACCTTCAAAGAAAAATGTTCAATAGTGGTTGTGAAGAGCAAAAGACCCCCCAGCCCGGGGGACCCAAAACCCCAGATGCCCAAAGAGATCCCAAGAGCGAAGGCGCCCAGGAGGGGCCAACCCAGGAAATCTTGGTTTTTACTCAAGTTTCACAAATCAGGTTTAACAAACTCAGACCCAAATCCTCAATCTGAGTTATCTAGCCTGAGATTGGACACTCTAAATTAGTTCAATCAACTCTAAGTAGGTTGAATACATGCGTAACAGATACAAAAAAGCCATTATCTGTGGAGCCCAGATTCGACGAGTCACAATGACGACAGGAAGTGCCTAGTTCACCCCACTGGAACTAGAGATTTTAATGCAGAAATGAAAGAAATGTAGATGTAATATGTTTAGATTCTATAGGAGAAGATTGCTGCTTGAATGGCAGTTTGTTTTAACATTTATTAAAAGCACACTCCTCTTTGTTGTTCCGTTTGTAGATTACTAAAATACAATTCTTTCAGGTCAAAATCCCAGTCCTAGTTGGAACTGTTACAATAGATTTTCTAAATTACATTTTTGTAGCAGAAACTGAATTTCAGAAATCAAGAAACTAATTTTTATGTTAAGTTTTATATATATCTAGAAATGTATTCATGATATCTGAAATACATTTTTTCATAGTCAAAATAATACAATTGCTGACCTGTAACAATACACTGGAAAAAAATCAAAATCTAGATAAGTAATTTTTTCATAAAATAAGTGCATTTGTTCCTGGATTGAGGAGGTAAAAGAGACATCTTGCCAATGGAAGAAGACAATTTAAACTTAAAATAATATCAAGTGCATATTATCTAATTATCTTATTTTAGGAGTAAAAATACCCATTCCATTGGCATCCATTCCGTCTCATTTGCCTCCTCAAATTAAGGGTAAATACACTTAATTTAAGAAATTTTGATTTATTTCTAGTTTGTTTTTCCAGTGTAGGAATATGGAGATCTGAACTTTTTTTCTAGACATCCATAATATTTATTCTAGACGTAAAGAATGTCATCTTGTTTTAAATTGTCATTTTGGCAAGGAAATAATGTTTTTTTTTTAGGTAGGTGAAATACATATTCAGAATAACTAATAAATTTCAAAACAGCTTGCCGTTGTGACCACGAAAAAATTACAGGTTTATTTATTGATTGGTAGTGGATCAATGTATCCATTTAGACAAAGTCATCTGGCAACAGGTGAAGATAAAGTCTAAAAATGTTTTTACATGTAGGACCAACGCATCATCTCATAGGTTCCTCCCCAGTTTTAATCAGTCTTTTTTTACACGGTAAATACTAAGTGTCCATTTGCAACTGCTTCGGATGTTATCATCCCAATAAATGGTCATTATTAGCAGTTATCAGTCCCATAGAATGGCTTCAGATTGTGTCAGTAGGCTCAGTAGGTTATCACTAAATGAATCCTAATCATAACCATAAAGTAATCCTTTTCCCCCTGCGGAATTAATTTATGTATTTATGTGTAATCTAAAAAGAATTTCAGTAGGTCTTCAAAAATGATCCACATGTCGCTCATATTAAACAAACCAGAAACAAACAAATCTCATATCCTGTCACTGTGTTGTAGACAGATATCAATTTCTATCAGTATGAAACAATAACTTTTTTATTTTCTCAGTGCTGATATCTGTGGCAGTGATGAATCTGTATTTTCTGCAGCTGATCTTTTGATGGTGTTTTTGCACTTGATTGCTCATCTTTGCTTTCTCATTTTCTTTATCTTCTTCTTAATCGCGTTTTCTTACAATTGTGTGTGTTAAGTTTGACTGCAACTTATCTGCACACTAAGTGATTTTGGCACATTTTTGTGTTGAAATAAAACAAAAACATAATTTCTTACCTATTGTTAAAACATCACATGCCTTTTAGTAAAGGCTGTCAGAAAGTGAAAGAATTTGATTCAAAATAACAACCAGTGGCAAAAACTCACTGCTTCTTTCGACCCCAAACTCTTTGCCACTGAGGATGTGATGCAGCAGGTTCTTCATGTCGAACGGACTCAGACTCATTAAACTCTCAGACGCTTCCTCTCCTACAAAAGAACCACAGAGCTTTATTTTTTTTTTGTTACCAGTCTTTTTGTCGGCATGTATGTGTGTTTTATTTTCCCCCACCAGAGCAGTGCAGGCTGCGAGCCAGCTCAGTGGCCATCACCTGCATGATGAGTCCGATCCGTAGGCGGAGCATGTCTCCGAAGAGAGCCGGCTGGGAGCGCGCGTACATGGCTAGATAGACCATGATTTCCTGGAACAGAAACACAAATAGGTCTCAGCTGGCATCCATTAAGAATGAAAAAGTGGTTTGAAATAAAACAGGTTTTACCTGAGTGAGAACAGCTATGCTGATGTCCTGACCACTGGCTTCATATATCAGAGCCTTTAGCTCCTCAGGAGGAAGCGGACTGGGAGAAACAGGAAGGTAAAGCAGGACATCTGTGTGTTAGTAAAGCATTTTTGTGATGAGGAAAAAGATCAGCATTCTCCTGAACACCGTACATGGCTATCACTCTTTCTCTGGGCTCAGGAGGAAGACCGACAGTCAGCTGCTTGTGATGAGAAATCAGATCTGTGCAGGCCTGAGAAGACAAAAAGCAGGAATAAAACCATTAAAACGCAACAGATTATACAGATGTTATTTGATACTTTAACAAAACAAGCAAAATCTTGATTACAATTCAACTACAAAACATATTTGTACAAATCTGCATAAATATAAAAGTTATCATGACATTAGAGGAAATAAATCTTTTTATTGTATGTATGTGGAAGTGTTATTTCTTCTTTAGAAATCCCTTTGGTTAAACTATTTAAACTGAGAGCATCCACTTCATCAGGATGAAGAGGATGCATCCTCTTCATCAGGATGAATGGGATGCTCTGAGTTTAATCTATTATGCAAGCTCTAAACAAACAAAATTACAGGATGATTTAGGGATCAAAATTAGTTAAATAAATATATTTCCTCCTGTTTATGCTTCCTCTTCTGATTCAACTGTTTTATTTTCACAACTGAGTGTTAGAACTACTTTTCCCCTAATTTTAGACTATAGTGTTAGGATTATTTTTATTGATGATGTGTGAGTTGGTTGAACCCGTGTCAAAAACGTTTTTCCAAGTAGATTCGTTTTTCCAAGTAGATTCTCTAATTAGGACAGTTCTTCTGTCAGGATATACAGTTATCATGTTAATTATGTACATAACAGAGTTTTGAGAATGGAATGGGTGCACAGAGAGGATGGATCATTCTTAACAGCGAGTTTTCTGTGTTTTTATCTGGTATATTCTGTAATAGTTTGATATGGCTGTAGCAAGGGAGGTCTCCTCATTTATAAATGTGTATTATGTAATGATGAGATGATGTGTTGCATGCTGGAGTTGTGTTAAATGCTTCTTTTACTGTGATTTAGGGCCGTCTTCAAAAAAAAAGATCCCAAGTTGGTAAGCGCTGCCTTCTGTAACCCTAAGCAAATTCTCTGGTCTGAGTAATATAACAATTTATGTCTAAATCTGGTGTCATGCCTCATAGCTATTTAATACGTATACATAAAAAAGTGTTATTTAAAGAGTTTGCCCTGAGAAAAGGACCAGGAAGAGAAAGCTTTCCTTTGCAGTAGGAAAGCTAAAGTTTTAAGGCTTCATCTAATCAACCATTCAGCTGAAAATTGCCATAAAATCACACAGACTTCTAACTGACCTCTGCAAGGACCTCCACTCGTTTGTGTAGTATTCCAGAGATGTATCTAATGAGCCCCCACTCTTTGCAGGCTCCGGCTTGCACGTACAGTTCCTCCAGCAGCGAGTGCACACTGACCCCACCCTGCCCGGGGCCCGAAAACTCCACCACCCAATCCCCTCCTCTGTGTCAGAGAACAAAAAGAAAATAATTATAGAACAGGATGTATATAGAATGTAAGTTTTTAAGTTTTAGGAAGCATCTAGGTTCCTATCTCTGCGCACTTCATAAAATAGAGGATTGAGAGGATGTCAGCCTGGTCCTGCAGAGTGGGACACTCTTTTATCTGATTCACCAGTGCTGCAAAATCATAGTTGCCCTGAGAGTCTCGTGGCAGGTGCAGCTCCGAGATACTGCAGAGCTTTAGAGAAGACATGCGTTAATCTTGCACTATTGCAGCAATGAAGAAGACATAACACGAGCTGCTGCACAGACGCATACCTTAGGCTGCTCCACCTGCTTCACCTGTGGGCTCGGCTGTAGGTCAGGGACCTCAAGGAGGTTCAGGGATCTTCGATGCTTTTTTGTGATCGGAGTCACAGGAAGATACAAGGACGACTCTGAAATATAAATACAAACTGAATCAAAGGATATAGGTTGGAACATGCTAGTACCTTCATAGGGTGGTGTATTTTTCCACACTACAAAAGTTATATTTGTAAAACAAAATTAAACCTTCTGCAACTGAAACAATATAACTTATCAGAATAAGCACAAACCTCAGTATTCTTGTTTTTCTTTTTGCAAAACAGGAGTTTAACTGAACCTCCTGCATGTGACTGTGGGTTTTTAAACCTTTGCTGTTTTTGCTTGATCAATAATCTTGTTTAATGTTAAAAAACTTACTGGGTATTTTCAAGCCTTGGACCTGAGCCATAAAAGACAGGATGTCCTTTGTTGTGTGCTCGGGGCTGAAGACGTGGTGTTGGTCCCTCTGGATGGGAGGTAAATGGGACTTGGTTGTACTGCTGTGAAGGAGCTGCGTGAGGTACTGGTCAAAGGGGTCCTTAGAGCCCACTGTTTAAAAAAAAAAAAACACTCGGTTCATGTTTAATGTCTCACTTTAAACTGTGAAGGTGGAAGATGCGTTGATGCAAACCTACAGTCGGGCGTGTGATATTCTGCTCTGTATTCCTCACTATCATCGTCATCTAGGTCCTCTAATAAACTGTCGTCGCACTCATCATCCAGGAAGGTGAGGCAGGTGTGGAACGACGTGGTCTGGACACTGGCCAGGTCTGACATCTGCACCCTATGGTGTCACACACATGACGCCTCTCAGAAGAAGAAGAAACAGATGTGGAGTTTTTGAGGTCTTTTGAAGAGAAAATACCTCGCTCCGGCAAAATAACCATCCTCCAGCTTCCTGAGCGTGGATAGGATACACGGATCTATGGCATCACCGTCTTCAACTGGGTGGGAAAAGGAAAGTCTGTTATTACTTTACAGACCTTGAACAAACAGTTTCTGTGAGCTTTGCCTGGTTGTCCCTTAAAATGTTTAGATCATTTCACAGATACAGCAGAATTCTTTGGATCAATCAAGACGTAAAAAGGGCACAAGACCGCCATGCTACCATATACTGTTATGTTGCTCTAGAAATGCTGGTTTAAATGTGAATTAATCATTTTTACATAAATATTAGAAATCAGCTTCCAGTTTTTACTGTGGTTGTCTTTGATATTCAAATTTGTTTGATGATCTAAAACATTCAAATGTGGCATAAAAACAAGAAAAAAGAAATGTGTGAAAACATCTTTTCTGCTTCTGTTTAAATGAAAACCACTCAAGCGAAACAACAAAACTCACACAAGTAAATTTAAACCTATACTTTTATCAGGGAATAACTAATATAGTTACCAACAGCAGCCAGAGGTTGGTAACTACATTAGTTGTCCATATGTTAAATTAAAATGACACAAACCCTACCTCTGTTTAGATCAGTTATAGATGAGCTTTGATTTTAGTGTGCAAAAGGTTTCACACAGTACTCTGAGTTTAATATTCACTCTCTGCGATAGAAAAAGGACTGTGACTTCTTGCTGTAAGGTAGAGGCAGAATAATGTTTGTTTGAGTTCTGGATGTGGAGCATTGGTACCCAGCATGCTGTGTGTGATGGGGAAGGTGAGCGTGGGCCGTCCCGTCATCCTCCAGCAAGACGAAAGGTAGGCCAGCTCGGTTCGTAGCATCTCCACAATCATCTGGTTGTCCAGAGCAAGGTAGAAATGATGCTGATCCAAAAACTGACCAGCGACGACAGAAAAGAAGAGAGGAGAAAAACACAGACATTAACTGCTGTTTCTATTGCTCTTCATTGGATTTTTGTCGTAGTCACAATGATGACGTTAGGCCAGCCCCGTGCTGCTTTACCTGGGGGGTGAAGATGTAGGAGCGATTCCTGATCTCGTAGAATTTGGACGTTCCCAGAACTCCAATGTGTCTATACGGCCTCCCGCTCAGATTCAGCTTACTGCAGTTTCCTGTGACCGAGGAAACGGTTGTTACTCTGGTTCTAGATAAATGCACCAACACAACAACTCCTGGTTAAAAAAAATGAAAAATAAACAAAGCTTGCAGTTACCCAGTCTGACATAGATGTGGCTCAGGATGCGAGCAGGCATGACTCTTATAGGCAGCACCTCTGATATCGTCTGAACCGTAACCCCGGCATCTTTTAACAACTCCTTGATCTCCTCTGACTCTGCTAGAACACAGACTAAAACAAAACAAAAGGAAAACACATTTATGGGGTTAATTTCCCTTTTAAAGGTATAGTGGAGGATGATCTTTTTCCACGTTGATCATGAAAATAAGTGGTGCTACTGTCAATCACTCTAGTGATATATTTACATAAGGCCGTCCTACGTGCTCCTCCCCATTTTCACTTAGCGGTGGTAAGTCTGACATAGTGGAAAAATTGCAAATCTTCTTTTGGAAAGTAAGCTTGTAGGAGTAATGCAAACGGTAACTTTTAAACAGAGCGTGCACTAGGAGAAATTGGCTTGTGCACATTCTCACACGCGTTTAATAAGGGTTCCCTCTCCGGAGCAGGTACAGGGTTATCTATGTGCATTTTTTTTTTACTACTCAAAAGAACATGACTAACCTGGTTCAAAATGTATCTACAGATGATTAATTATTTCTTAAAAGAAGTGTATTTACCCTTAGATGATCTGCCAATGGAATTTTATCCTTAAAATAATATAATTACTATTTTTTCTGGACTATTAGCTGCTACTTTCCCCCCACACTTTGAACCAGAAGGTGTGGCTTTTCTGTTGATTTTTCCTTACTGCCAGACGGGGGAAGTTAAAGTTGGAAATGAAAGAATAAGGGGCTAAGATCATGCTGGAAAAACTAATCCATGCGTTTATTTTTAGTCGAGTTGATTACTGCAACGGTGTTTTCACAGGTCTGCCTAAAAAGTGGATCGGACAGCTGCAGCTGATCCAGAACGCTGCTGCCCGTGTCCTCACTAAGACTAAGAAAGTAGAGCACATCACCCCAGTTCTAAAGTCCTTACATTGGCTCCCTGTATCTCAGATAATAGACTTTAAAATACTTCTGTTAGTCTATAAATCTCTTAATGGCTTAGCACCTAAATACATCACAGACTTGCTATCAGTGTATCAACCCTGCAGGCCACTCAGGTCTTCTGGCTCCAGCCTGCTCTGCATACCTAGAACCAGAACTAAACATGGAGAAGCAGCATTTAGTTCCTATGCTCCACTTATCTGGAACAAACTTCCAGAAAACTGTAAAAGTGCGGAAAGCCTGAGTTCCTTTAAATCAAGACTAAAAACAAATTTTTTAGGATTGTCTTCGACTGTTCTAGTTAAACAGTTCAACTGAAACATTAGTTCAACTTTTTTATTTTCTTTAGTCAAACTGTTTTAATGTTCTTTTTTGTTTCTTCATTTTTAATTTATTTATTTTTCCCTACTTGCTTTAATTCTGTTTTATTTTCCTATATTTTAATCATGTAAAGCACTTTGCATTGTCTTTGTACTGAATTGTGCTATACAAATAAATTTGCCTTGCCTTTGCCTAATATTCTTTTAGCACAAGAACATGCTAGCAGCAGGCATGACAGTGAACAAATGTTCCGAATTCACACATTTTGAAATTTATTTTCCACATTTAAGCTGCCGAACCAAAGAAGAGACTAGGCTCAACTCCTGCAGAGCTGAAATAAAGAGCTGAAGAAGAGAAGCTCTTAATGCTGCAAGCCAGTTAGCTAGCATTCTTCTTCCTCCCTACTTCAATGGCTATATGTAGAGCTCCCCCTACAGGTCTGGTAGTAGAGAGTTCAGTAGATATCAGCAGCTTACGTTTCCAGTTTAAAAAAAAAAAAAAATTCTGGGTGCGGCTTATATTGCGGTGCACTCTAGTCTGAATAATACGGTAGATATTATGCACTTGAAATAAGAGACTACAATAATTTTTTTCTTACTTTAAGTGTAAATTGGCAATGTGTTTCAGTTATCTGCCAAGTTAAAAAACTGCACCTATTTTAAGAACAGTCAACTTTCTTAGATTTCAGTTTTTTGCAGTGTAAAGAATAGGTTGCATTTAAAACCCTCCCATGCCTGATACTAACCCGTTCAGTTAATTAATTACCAACCTTGTACCACCACATCAGGTTTGAAATGTGTAGAGAACCTCCTGTTGAGAGGATCGATCTCTCCTGGTGCAAGAAAGCCCTAAAGACAATCAGAGGGAAAACCAGATACATTTCATATGTTTAGATTTATAAAAGAGATTTGTTATGTGGGGATTTTGTGGGTGTTAACTGGTTTATAACATCTTCTGTGTTGTTACCTCGGCTAGAAGAGAGCCCACGATGTAGAGGGATTGTCCCCACATGTGTGGAAGCTGTCCCATGGCCTGTCTGTCCACGCTGTGAGGGTTACTGTACTCCTCCTCCACCTGTACGACATGATCCCAACAGAATAAAAGAATATTTGTGAACGATTTCCTTTGGAAATAAAACTAAAATGTGTTTTTAAATGTGAATAAACTGCACGATGTCATCAGTGGGACACCTTGTCGAGTGGCACGGCGTAAAGTTCAGGCACCAGCTTGATGCCGTTCTTTCCTCTGATTAGAACACTCTCCAGCGCCTCTCGGTACTCCTGCACCTGTGTGCAAAGGATGACGTTACTTAGTGACGCAGCATTTATTATCATTTATTATAAATGCACAGGTCAAACAAAATATGTTTGAAAAAAAAACAAGTTCTGAGGAAATATAATATTTATTATTTTAGTTTCCAATAGTTATCAATTTTACACAGTGGCTGATTATATGCCCTTATTTTGTAACAACAACAACCTTAATCCACTTAATATAAAGCATTTCAATATAACATTGAACACAGTAGGCAGCATGTATATTTATTCACTCCTTCATTGGAGATAAAATCCTTAAATTAAGAAATCTCTTTAAAATATTTTGTTTAGCAGCCAAACAAGGCAGACAAGGGTCTTTTTTCATTCCAAAAAATGCTTAAAGTGAACAGGTTCTTGTTTAAATCTGCCCATATCTCCAGAGGAAGCAACAAATGCAACCACACACTGTTAAAGTAACTGTAAAAGATCTACATGCACGCTTGTGATTTTTTTTTTTTTTTACCTGCACATGATCTCCTGTAAAGATGCCGTCGAGGATGAGATATGTCCAGAAAACGGGCCACTCGCATTCAATGTTTTCAAACAGCTTGAGCTCTGCAGGATCATAGTGCAGTCGAGACGGATCCTGGTGAAAAAGCAACCCGACACCCACATTCAAGCACACACCATAGGTAAACCATCAGCATTAAGAATTTTTATAGAGAGAATGTAAAACCTCTTTAGGACAGTGATATCCATCCCTGATGAAGCGACAGCAGCCATAGCGACCCTGAAATGAAAGCAAAGGGGATATTCATTGACCCGCTGTGTGAAGCCTTTCCTTTTTTCCCTAGCTTGGGTGTGTACCTGCAGTTTGCTTATAATTTCTGACTTTGTGATGGCCACCAAGTCAGCATCCTCCACGGCGAAAGCAGGGAAGGAGATAACGGACAGCAGACCGGCATCTATCTCCTTGGAAGTCGAGGCTCTTGGCAGCATGGAGCAAAGGATGGCCTGAGAGAAAACACGCAGACATGAGGAGCGCTGAAGGTACGGGCTGGTGCTTATACAGCCAGAGGTTAACTCAGAGGTACCTGACAATGTTCCACCTCGTCGGGAAGAACGTGGATGACCGACTTTGGCCCTCCATGAGCCCCAAACAAATCCAGCTCATCGATGGCCTCCAGAGCTGCCTGCAACATTAACCATGCTCTCATCAATTTAACTAAACTGTTCAAAGACATTTGATACTTTTAATGCAGCAGAAGCGTGGTTATAAATGCTGAGATTAGAAGAAGAAAAGGCTGCTGTACCTTCGCCATTCCTACAGAGCTGCCGTTGAGCTCAGGGATCCCCTGATTGGTCTTGTCTCCTCGCTCCCACATCCCATAATCCTGCAGGAGTCAGATACTCATTCACGTTTTTCATATTAACTTTAATCTACAATCTAACATGAATCTGATGCTTACTGCCACTTTGTAGGCTGCTTCAATGTAGAAAACCAAGTTCTGGATAAAAGCTACTTCATCCAGATTAGAGATTATTCGGAGACCTGCGCAACAAAACACGAAAGAAACTATTAAATAACAAAAAGCAATTGTGTGGCTTCATTAACCCTAACAGAAAATCGATTTGAAAGATGTATTCAAATGTATTTAAGAACCTGAGGCTGTCATCTGCGCCAGCATCAGCAGGTAAATGGAGGTTGCATCCACCTGGAGATGACCCCACTGGTCGTCTTTGACCACCAGGCCGCAGGTGGCTGTGTTGTATTTGGCGTGCAAGCAGTCCTTGGTACTCTGGGTGTGTTTGAACTTCTCCACCTTATCGACCTGGACACACAAAGGAGAGCTTTAGTTGGAGTAAGAGAAACCTAAAGGAATATGGCAACCGTGGGAAACAGAGAGAAGGGAAAATTGAATTCCCAGTTTCAAAATACAAGTTTACTGGACAAAGTTAACTAGATGATTTATTCAGACGGGTGTATTTCTTTAGGTTTTGATGATGCTTAAGAAGGGGGTCAGCCATAACATGTCGTGGACCTAGAAAGCGGCCTCACACATCCTCCCCCTGCCTGAACAAACAGATGTTTGGTTCTTTGAACTCATTCGCTTTTAGGATGAATGCTATTTTAATTTGGGACTCTTACTCTTTGGTTTGATGGGCATGCTTGTCTCTCTTTCTCTATTGTGCCTCTGTAATAAACACTTAAAAAAATGTTCAAATCCCTTTTTTAGATATTTGGTCCATAGTTTTGTTCATGCTGTTTCCTGGGTTTCCAACCCTACCTACCATATCTTATATTTATGATCATATCACTCTTCTTAGTCCTGAGCCTTCTTCTCGATAAAAAGAACTGGTTATAGAGTCTTTCAGCTGCTGGGAGGAAGGATCTGTGATAACGATCCCTGGTGCATTTAGGGTGCAGCGGTCTGTCACTGAAGGAGCTCTCCAGTTCTGCAACAGCTTCATGCATGGGGTGGGAGACATTATCCAAGAGAAAATTGGCCAAACTGAATGATGAAATAACTGCAACTTGTGATAGATGTCAACAGTCTACCTTGTACCTTGTACCTTGTACATGTTTTTGAACTGCCCATCGTTATGTAGTTATTAGACAAAGATTTTTACCACTTTTTCTGAAGTAAAAGTGAAAGAGTAGAACACAATGCACTCAATGCACTATTTGGCATCCCTCGCCTTCCTTGGTGATACATATTCTTTGACTTCTTTTGCAAAATCTAAAAAAGATTCTCTTGCTTTTGCCACCCTTTTGGCGAAACAATTGATTGTTTTGAAATGGAAATCATCTGTACCATCTTCACACACCCGTTGTTTATAGCAGCAAAAAGATTGTAGAAAAAAATGGTCACAGAAACATGGACTTAGAAAAATGTATATGAATAAGATAATAGTGAAGAGTTATAAGACAATCAATAAAATACTATACTGTAAAGTGTTTTAACCATATAAAACTATGCAACTGGAGAATAAATAACATATATACAGCTATAGACATTTTTACAGTAATGGATAGTTGAAAACAGAGGCAACATGCTATATTTTCTCAAACTCGAAAAAATCAGACAGTCAATGACGGGCAGGACTAGAATGTTTAACAATCTATAAGGATCATCCTTGCGTATGTTAACAAGTCTGATATCTCGCTTATTCCAGACCCCAACACTTAAAATGGACATACTGAGCATGTATTATATGCCAAAGTTGACTGTGGCTATGTCCATTAAAGTTAATAAGCTATTTGAATATGTCTTGTATTTAAAATTAGCTTTTTGATGTGTAGGTTTTTATTCATTTTTGAATGTCATTTTGTTTGTTTTTTGTTTGTGTGTGTGTGTGTGTGTGGGGGGGGGGGGGTTGTTCTTACAAAAAGAAAATGTACTTCATAGGGACAGGTTATTTATGATCTTTAGCTTAATGAGTAAAGTGGAAAAAAAGAAATGTTCAACTGATGTTTGCATTATTCTTAGCCTGCAAAATGACTAAATTTTCTCTTTTTCACTTGATTTATTTCAGAGCATATTTAGGAAATATTGCTGTATGAAAAGCCTGTGCTTAAATTATATTTAACTGAAACATCCTATTTATTGTGAAAGCAAACATAATCATGTGTCACTCAACACAGCCTCCAGGATAAGACAAATCTGAACCAAAACTCCTTCGTTCTGTGAGTGAGCGGGATGAAGCATCACCTCCAGCTCTATCTTTAAATGCTTCTCCAGTAAAAAGAAATGGTGTTTGTGTGTTTTTATATCACAAAAAGCCTTACGTACTCCTTATGTTATAAAAAAATAATAATCATTTACTGGTGTATTTTAAGACACACTGCTTTCATCAGCTGATGGCATGTCTGCTCAAAGCCATTTAAAATGTCACCCAAACACAGACTACTGGATCTTTTCTCCCCCTTCTATGTGATGTTAGTATAGAAGGATGCAGCGTCTTACCTGTCTCATCATGCACCGCAGAAGACCCTGCATCAGTTTCACCACACTCTGCCAAATAGAATACAAAACACCTGACATACAGTGCTGGAAATATATAATCCATTTTAATTTTTGAAGAGTTGGGCAAGAAAAAGATTAGCATTCATATAAAATGGTGCAGCAAGAAGTGTAATTGTAAAGATTACCTTAATAATGTTAAGGTATTATTTCTTTCATTCTTGCAAACCAATTTGTTCCAGATGAAAATATAAGGCTCAGGTGTTTTCTTTTTTCTTTTTAGACTGAATCACTCTACATAAAAAGCAGGACAAAAAGGGCCCGCTGCACATTTGAACTCTCCTCTTCATGTACCTGCTCCAGTTCATAGGCCTTGGCCTTGTCTTCGTCACGGTCCGCATTCTTGCGATAAGCCATGCCCAGGCCCCACACAGCCAGGATGCTGTACACATTGTCCCTCACCCAGGCATCCTTCTTCTGTATACTGGCGGGAAGAAGTCCTGTAACTGGGTTCTGAGGAAGGAGGAGTCCAGTTTAGAGTAATTATTTACCTTTTCTAATTATGAGCTTTTCTAGAATAATACCCCATTACTCTACAGCTGTTTCCTTTTCCACACATCTTTGTTATAAAACTGTATACTCTGTCATTCTCAACCTTCTCTGTCCCGTTCAGTAAATTTCCATCAAAAAGTTTACTTACAAAGAGAAGTTCTAAATACTAAATGCTAAAGGATGGACAGATGGATCTTCTCATCAGTGTTTACCAACCTTTTCTGATTTCTTTCTTTTCTCCTTTGGTTATTTAGTCTTACCATGCGTACCCCACTCAGTCAAAGCTATGGCTGATTGTCCAAAAGCAGAACATAAAATAACTGATTATGAAATAAAAACTATTTTACTTAATCTTTTATAGGCATTGTAGGCTTTCAATAAAAACAAAACAAAAAAAAAACATAAATATGTTGCCTGGAAGTTAGTTCAAATAAATACAAAATAAAATCATATCATAAACCTGTATTTATAAAATTGGAGCTCCTCTGAGTAACTCCCGTATCACATTTAGGGCTAAAACAATTAATCGTGATTAATCCGATTTTTGGAATAATTGTGAACTAATTTGGTAATTGATTAATAGTTAATTGAAGTGCAGAGACTCTAAAATATGCCTTTAGCTGACAGAGCGACCAACCTTGTGCAGCAATTATACCAAAATTGTAAAAATATGTAAAAAAGTCGGACATCTTCTTCGGATGACCCCTGGACGCCTCCCTCGGGAGGTGTTCCAGGCATGTCCCACCGGGAGGAGGCCCAGGGGACGGCCCAGGACACGCTGGAGAGACTATGTCTCTCGGCTGGCCTGGGAGCGTCTAGGGCTTCCCCCAACAGAGCTGGAGGAGGTGTCTGCGGAGAGGGAAGTCTGGGAGTCTCTGCTTAGTCTGCTGCACCCGCGACCCGGTTCCGGATAAAGCGGGAGACGACGAGTACGAGTACGAGTAAAAAAGTTGCATCTAAGATAAAAAAAACAACATTTTCATTGGTCAATATGGTCTAATTAGAACTCCTTAAAGCTGCAGTCTGTAACATTGAGGAGAGAGCAGACTTCGACTGAAAATTTGAAGAAAAACAGGTTTCACTCCACTCCCCCACCCTCTCTGCTTCACTCATGCCCTACCTCCAAGCTCCACCCCTCTCACAGCATCTGCGCGGCTACCGCATGCGACCAGAAGGGGGGGGGGCGGGATTCAGCGTGTGTGAGCTGTGATTGACACTCCATCAGACGCTCCTCTGGCTGTGATTGGTTGTTTTGACTCGTCCCGAATTATTCTTTCCAGATTGAAATACAGGCAGTAGGCGGGACCAATTGAAGCAGTTTTTTTCACAGGTTACATATCACATGTACTGCTGTCTGGGCATAGGGACAGTTTTAGCCAATATGACAAAAAAGGGATTTTTAAAAACTTACAGACTTCATCTTTAAATGAAAAAAGGTTTAGTTTCAACTGGTTTAATTTAATAAAAAATCTTCTTTAAGGAACCTTTGTCTATTTGATTATTAATTAATCAAAAAAATTATCAACAGATTAAACCTTTTAAAAAATAATCATTAGCTGCCCTAATGACATTTAAACTTGATGAATTGGAAGCTAAATACAGAACAGAAATTATAGTTAGACTAACTTAATTAGTTTCACTTTTTTTTTAATCAAGACCCCTGAGCTGCTTTGATGAGTTCTGATAGCTCAGTGTGAATAATCACTGATTCCAGGCTGTTCTCTACATCCAGCATGTTCCTCTGCTTGGTTTGGATGTGCATCACAGTTGAAGGTGAACTCAAACATATAAGAAAAACATAGGTTAATATAAGCTTTTTTAATTTTTCAATCGGATCCTCACAAAAAAAAAAAAAAAAAAAAAAAAAACTGATCCCAGCCCTAGTTTATTTTACTACTAAGAAGTTAAATATTTTCATGTACCCCTTGCAATGCACTCGCGGACCACTAGGGGTATGCACACCCCCTGTTGGGAACCACTGTTCTACACAACGAGATGCAACTATTTTCCATTCTGTAATTAATTTGTTTCATACTTTGCACAAACTTTAAAAAAATATATATACATTGGTCTTCTACGTATTTCCATGTATGGATTAGCTCAATGCCGACTAAAACAATAAAGAATTTATCACTCCTCAAAGTCAACTTTAACTCTAAACACTGGCAGCCCACGACTGATTTAATCAGTCGTGGGCTGTAAAGCTGTCAAAGTTCCCACAATCTTGACTTTGGTCTAGGAGTTAGGGATTAAGGCAGAAACCCTTTGAACCAAACTAAATCGAGCGATTGATTTGCAACAGAACACAGAAAACATCAAACCTGATTAGATCCATTTAAAAATTGATTAAATGTGAATGATTATTAATTACCTGCAGAGTAATCAACTTCTTATGGGCCACTTTCTGTGCATCAAGAACAGTGACTGAACTCAATGATTTACCTCTGATTTTATAGGTTTTTTGTGATTAACAGATAGCATATCTGAATGTCAATAGTAGACAAATGAGGTTTTCCTTTCAGATAAACTTGTTCAGGAGTCGATCAGAGAGAGCGAAGGCGGCTTTAACCTTGGTAACAGTGCAGCAACAAACTAGTTTACACATCCTGGTTCCAGTTTGTAAAACCTTGTTCAGGTGAGACATCTGTATGGAAAGCTAAGTCTGTTTTCTCTCAGCTGTGGCCCCTCAGGGTTACAGTTTCACTCAGCCAGTTTCTGACTGCGTCAGAGTGAACTCAAGAGCTGTTAGATAAAATGTGCATCGCTTCCCAGGCCTCAGCTGATTCTCAGAACTGAACTTTGCTCCGACGTTGTTTATTTCACTGTGCAGCTGCTGTAGTTGAACTTTAGCCTTCATGGGCTTCAAAACACCTAAATATCTATGATATTCCTGCAGGGAGCAGAGGGGATATTTGATTACAGAGGTTTTAAATTGAAGCACTGCTTAAAACGTCTATGCTTACAAACATCGTCAACATCTGCAAACATTAGCAGGAGTCATATGTGCTTACCCTGTTCAGGGATTTCATTTGTGAAGCTCATATTTATTGTTTTATTTTACAACTTTTTAGAGATGCACATCTTTTATATAGAGATTCAATAGAATGCCTTATGAATGTCTTTATTTAATCTCATTTGGATTCTAATGGCAGATTATAAGATTAGCACAGGTCTTATTCTGTAAAACAATAGACTGCATTGCAGAAAATGTACCAATCAAATATTTCCTGGGGCGATACTTATTAGCAGGACTTGAATTTGAACTTCCTGACCATTTTTTTTTATTTTATTATTACAAACAAGAAAAAAAAGGATAGGTTGAAGCTTTTAATCAAACCGATTTGTGCCGAATTCCCCAAATTCAGTGCATGTGATGTTGACTATAGAGTTTTTTTTATTTACTATGGTTCTTATTATAAGTCCTTTAATATATATATCAATGGACATTTGGCAGCTTCCTTTTTAACAGGGGGTATCTAGCATATTATCATTTTTTTGTTTGTTTGTTTCAATTTATATATAGAAACAGAAATAAAATCCACCTACATAAAAGTAAAAACAGGTGATGTGGAAACAGGACAGGATTGTATGAGGTGCCCCCAGGGACATAAATCAGAATTAACTTGCATATACACATACTAAATTACACTCTTCCATATAATATACTGAAAACCTCACACAAACACTAGTAAAAAGCTCTCACATAAACTAGTGAAAACATTTACCTCTTATATAATCTACTCAAAAGCTCTCATACAAAGTAGTGAGAACTGTTCATATAAACTGGTGAAAAGCTTTACCTTTCATACGCACTACTGGAAAGCTTTCATATACACTATTAAAAAGCTCTCATATACACTACTAGAACGCTCTCATATACACTACTAGAACGCTCTCATATACACTATTAGAAAGCTCTCATATACACTATTAGAAAGCTCTCATATACACTACTAGAAAGCTCTCATATACACTATTAGAACGCTCTCATATACACTATTAGAACGCTCTCATATACACTATTAGAACGCTCTCATATACACTATTAGAACGCTCTCATATACACTATTAGAACGCTCTCATATACACTATTAGAATGCTCTCATATACACTATTAGAACGCTCTCATATACACTATTAGAACGCTCTCATATACACTATTAGAAAGCTCTCATATACACTACTAGAATGCTCTCATATACACTATTAGAACGCTCTCATATACACTACTAGAACGCTCTCATATACACTATTAGAACGCTCTCATACACGCTACTAGAAAGCTCTCAAACACACTACTGGAAAGCTTTCATACACACTATTAGAAAGCTAAAATATATGGTCCCCCTCCTTTAATTTAGGCAAACATTGCTCAAATATCACCGAATCCAGATGGTTTGTTGTTGATGAAGAGAGGAATAAACACAGTTTAAGATTTGCAGCTAAATTAATTTGTTTCCATATTATGGAACTGCTATCAGGCACTTCCCATCATCTTATATCAGTAATAAAAAATTATAAATACAAATTTGGTATTTGGTGACTTGACTTTTATTTCTGTCAGGCTGAAGTGAAAAAACTTGGAAAGAGACTGATTCTCTTGGCGTTTAAAATAACAACACAAAACAGCATAAGAAACCGCATTTATTTTTTTTATTTTACAATTTTGTAAACAACAGCGGCTGATTAAACTAAATGTCTCAACCTTGTATAATTTTACGACTTTTTATTTAACCAAGAAATTATCCGAAAGGCCTGGGAAATGATCAGATCCGCTTATGTGGCTGCAATGCGCGGCGCGCTCCCGACACAGGTGGAACAGATTTTCACATGGGAACAGAATTTCGCACAACACCGGAAAAGGATCTCTGTTGAAGCAAAAACATAAAAAATAAAGTCGAGTAATGCCCATGCTTCTGTGAGTTGTTTAGCGGATAGCTGAGCATGAATCAATAATTTTATTTGATACAATTTCGGCCGGAGATAGCACAAAATGTACGGAGCTAGCCAGAATGACCTCCGTTTAAAACAACGTCCGGTGTAATGACGGTCCTTCCTGTTTCACTGAAACACCTTCCGTTTCAACTGAAATCCGCTAATAGCTTTTCAGTAGTGTGTATGAGAGCTTTCTAGTAGCGTGTATGAGAGCCTTCTAATAGTGTATATGAGAGCTTTCTAGTAGCATGTATGAGAGCTTTCTAGTAGCATGTATGAGAGCGTTCTAATAGTGTATATGAGAGCTTTCTAGTAGTGTATATGAGAGCTTTCTAATAGTGTATATGAGAGCGTTCTAATAGTGTATATGAGAGCGTTCTAATAGTATATATGAGAGCGTTCTAATAGTGTATATGAGAGCGTTCTAATAGTGTATATGAGAGCTTTCTAGTAGTGTATATGAGAGCTTTCTAATAGTGTATATGAGAGCTTTCTAATAGTGTATATGAGAGCTTTCTAATAGTGTATATGAGAGCGTTCTAGTAGTGTATATGAGAGCGTTCTAGTAGTGTATATGAGAGCGTTCTAGTAGTGTATATGAGAGCTTTTTAATAGTGTATATGAAAGCTTTCTAGTAGTGTGTATGAAAGGTAAAGCTTTTCACCAGTTTATATGAACAGTTCTCACTACTTTGTATGAGAGCTTTTGAGTAGATTATATAAGAGGTAAATGTTTTCACTAGTTTATGTGAGAGCTTTTTACTAGTGTTTGTGTGAGATTTTCAGTATATTATATGGAAGAGTGTAATTTAATATGTGTATATGCAAGTTAATTCTGATTTATGTCCCTGGGGGCACCTCATAGGGTTGTACCTGAATGGAAAACAATAACATACTTTATTTGCAGGACTTTATTCTTAAATGTAATATTAACTATCAATAAGTACAATTAATATTACAAATATTTATAAGGTAAAGCACTCTAGGAGTAACTAAATAGATTATGTGGCTTGACAAAAACAGTATAGAAATTCATAGATTAAAGGAAAACATGCAGTTAACATGTTTTGCATTATTCAGATTTCCCAGGCCTGCAGAGGGGATGTGGCTGCTATGCAGCTCTGTGTGTCTGGACCCACCTGATGACACAGGATGGTCTGCTGGACCAGCCTGGCATACCCGTCCAGCCTCACTCCTGAGTTACTGCGGCTCCTCATCCTGCGCAGACAGAGTTTATTTCATGCACCGCCTAAAACTTCAGCATTTTCTTCTCTCTCCGTTAAATGCGATCAAAGTAGCAGTTAAATCTGTCTGATCGTGACTCGGCTAAGCTTCTGCGCAGCCACCCATCTTTCCTGTCCTGCTGAGTCTGTCTGACCTCCGCAGAGGCTAAAAAGCTCGCTAGCAGTGTAGCATCCAGGCTTAAACAGCTTTTAACTCCAGATTTACTGTCCGTGTTCAATCCAGGCGATCAGCTGGTCTGGGGAAAGTTGATGGTTCGGAGTGTCAGAGCTTGTTGATGACTCAGTGTGTCAGGCGACGTATGTGAGCGCCTGTACATCCATTCTGTACATTATGTTCTTGAGCTGATACAGTCGGCCGCCAGAGGGCGCCAGATTCTGCTGTGTGTGAGCTGCATTACAATGAACCTTGGATTCACTGGAGGCCAAAAGAGCCTCAGACCCAACAACAGAGGCGTATCCAGAACATTTTTATGCGGGGGGCCAGGCACTAACCAATGTAGACTGAGGGGTGGCCGAAAACATATAGGCACCAGAACCTCAGGGTCAATCTACTCTGTTCCAACAGGGAAATTAATGAGCAAAACATCCATATTTTCTAAATAAAGAAAAACTATACTTTCCCACAACCTTTGCTACAAATAGACAAATATATTTAAACATCCGTGCTTTCTAGATAAAAGGCATAGTGGCTCCGGAGGCGCACACGGCTCTTTAGCGTCCCCCTTGCGGCTCCCTGCTGGAGCTTTTTTGAAAATGTATTAAAAAAAATCACATTTTTTGTTGTAGTTGTTTGTTTTAATGTGGTGTGCTGGAGGTCGGACAAAAATGTATTGTTTTTCAATGGTGTAAACATTTGTATAATAAACAAATGTAAACAATGCGTCATAGCCATAGAGATCAGTGGTCATAACTTGCAACCAGCGTGGCATGGTGCCAGGCAAGCAAAGCTGCAGGCCATGGATTCCAAAGGGAAAAAAGGAAGATAGCTGATAAGGAAAGAGGATTAAAAGAATGGAGCGAATCATTTGCTTTCATTATCTGTGTGGAATGATTGCCTGCATTTTTTGCTTTGTAATGATGGGATTTCAGGGTTAAAGAGAGCTGCTCTGATGGATGTCAGTTCCTGCTTGGTTCCTCATGACTCAATCTACTCCTCAACAGAAACAGAAACACATCCACCATAAAAAGATTCCTTTATTGTGTTTCTTTAATTTCAACAACGCAACAAAACTTAAACCACGCACTGATGGCAGCGTTCACTGCTCCTCCCTCACCTCATGCTGCTATGTGACATTTGCTCCAGGATAAACATTTAATCATGAATGCTTTTTATATATTTAAGCTCACAAAGTCCTTTTCTATAGTGGTCTCATACACTTAGAGCCCGTGTTGCCATACGAGGCTTAAGACTTATACATTGTTGCGGCTCCAGACAGATTTATTTTTTGTTTTGTTTTTACCCAATATGGCTCTTTGAGCAGTTTGGGTTGCTGAACCTTGGTATAGTGGATAATATTCTTTCAGGTTTGGGGGAACTTTTTTTTACATTGTCATTACTTACCTACTTTTATAGATAATCATTTTGCATAAAATTGATAATTTATTACATTTTTATTAAAAAAGTTATTTATCAATGATTTCACTAAAGACTCATAGGTAACTTGCAGAGACAATTTTCTCTTCACCCCATAAAAGACAAAATCTAATTCTGAAAAGAGCATTAATTCTGTACTCATCATCTTTAATGTCAATATATTGATGTGCATAATTAACTACAGTGTTTTTGTTGTCAAGTAAATGTTAATATATGTAAAATTAAAATGTTTTGAATATTCCACTTGAGAGTATTACTGCTGCCACCATCTGTATTAGACGGAAATGAAGGGTAGGGGTGACCACAGGGGTGTCCAATGATTGGCTAAGGGTGGCCATGGCCACCCCTGGCCCCCCATCTAGTGTTGCCCCTGCACAAACATACAAAAAAATAAATTTATCTATATTTGAAAATTTAAATAAAACTGCCATCAATGTATATTAGATGAATGAAAAGTTAGCAGTTTAGGTAAACGTCATATAATAATGCTTAAAAAAGATGTAATCACATATAGGCTATATCAATTTTAAGTTTACATTATTACTTTACAAAACCCTTTATTGGTATTTAAGTATGAATTTAATCATTTTATACTTTTATGTCATACAGTCACAGGAATACTTTTAATGGATCATGAATTAGGCTCCAAAATTTGATTGGTTAATCAAACAGGACGATGTAGCATATAATTTAATATTAAAATAATAATTATTTAGTATATGTATAAAACTTTTAAATGATTTTAATCAGAACTATTTATAATACATTTATTGATTGATCTTTTTCTGAAATTATTTATTTGAATTATTCCATGTACGGCTTTTTTTGGACCTATTAATTGAGTTGTGGCACTTCTGGACCATGGTAGTCATATGGAATCTATTCTACTGTATATATCAAAGATAAAATCCATAAATACAAAAGTAAAATATAAATTATTACTTCATTTATTATGGGACCGATGAGATCCCTTGTCCCTGTCCAAAACTACTACTGACTAAAACAAACAACGTCAGAGATTAGAACAGAAGAGTCAAATGAATAAGTAAATAACAAAAAATACATGATAGAATAGGTAATCACTGAGTCCCTCTGGACTCAGTGCAGAAGGTGGAAAACAAAAGGATCCTAACTAAATTAACATCCCTGTTGGATAATGTTTCCCACCGCATACATGATGCTGTTGCAGAACTGGAGAGCTCCTTCAGTGACAGACTGTTGCACCCTAAATGCACCAGGGAGCGATATCACAGATCCTTCCTCCCAGCAGCTGAAAGACTCTTTAACCACCACTGTTCCCAACAACCTCAACAAGTTGTTACATTCATGCTGATTTTGAACAGTTTCTACCTTAGTCAGTTGAATAACATGCTGCTGTCATTCTACACATCTCTGATGTTGCAGCCATTTTCAAATATCCATTATTGTACAAATGTCCATAGCTACATATTGGTTATTTATTCTCCATGTGCACAGTGTTTATATTGTTAAAACACTTTACATTATAGTATTTTATTTGTTTATTTTATTTTATTTTAACCATTCACTATTATGTTATTCTTACATATTTTTCTAAGGTCCACATTTGTGTGACTAATTTTTTCTATAATCTTTTTACTGCTGTAAACACCAGAATTTCCCCATTGTGGAACAATAAAGGGATCTTCTATTATATTCTATTCTATAATTAATTATGAATCAGTTTATTTTAATACATATAAAACATAAGGTATACTTAAGGCTATGATGACATTGCATCTGTAATTAGTGGTATGAAGCAGCCAAATTTGTTCAATCATACTTCTTCTTTCTTCAATAGTTCTTTACACCAACAGTCTTCCAGATTCCTTACTTACTTATGGGATTTAATACAGATGCAGATCTCAACCTTGAACTCCAGATCAGGACACTTTTAAAATTGAGATTTTTTCTTCTGACTCACTCTAATTTTGGGATTAATGAAGTATCCTTTGTATGCCTGCAAGCTGTGCAAAATACTGCAGCATACTTTTAACTAGAACACAAAAGTCTGATCACATTACCCCCAATTCTTTCTTCTTTTCATTGGCTGCCCTTACTTTTTAGGATAAGTTCTCTCATTCACTTTTAGATCTCTTAATATCTTACCTACGCACATGTTTATTCATATAAGTATTTCTTATAGAACACAGAAGCATTGCAAAAATATATTTACACCCATGTAAAGTAACTAAGAGTATCCATTGATGTTCACCACGCTTCACCCACATTGCCAACTGATTGTGGTCAGAGGGCCCGGCGGCGTACATCAGCCTTCTGCCAGTGAGCCCCAAATGCAGCTTGCAACTGCCAGGGTGGGTGAACGTATGAATGATTATATGTAACGTAAAAGTACTTTGGAGTCCCCCTGGCTTTAAAAGTAGATAGTTAAAGTGTATATGTGTACCAAATTCAGTTTAAATGCTTATTTAACTATTATTCTGGGCTGCCTTCCTATCGAGGTGAGCCGGATGCAACTGCTGCCATTGTAACCGGAGCCATTTCTCTGGTCTGCCATCATGTCTTATAGTCATTTAATGCATATACTTCAGAAAGTGTTATTTAAAGGAACAACGTGTAACTTTTGGCCACTAGGTGCGCTAGACCTGTGACTGCCTGTATTTTGCTTCTACTAAACATTGAAAATAATAACAAAGACATATGACTATATACTAGGAGCAGAGTGTTAACTTACGAGTCTAATGACAAAGGCAGCTTCTTCTTTCAGCCTGTGCCAACGAAAAAATTCCTTTCCAAGATCAGCTCTTATTTTTCCTTGGTGCACGATCCCTTTCACGTTTTCTCTTTTTAGCCTCCTCAGAAGGTTTAAACTTTTTCCCTGCCTGGGCCATGACCAGGAGTCAAGGAGGTGGAAAAATAGTAGAACAGGCTCTCCACAGGCTCATGGCCTGTGGATCTTCCTGTGGCCATAAAGTGATACATTCTTCCGGATCCCTTGACCTGGCCAATGAAGGTCATCTTCTCCCAACGTACATAGGTGGTATTTCAAGAGGGGAGCCCATATCGTAGCATTGATTGTTACAAGTGCTGCAGATTGGCCAGAGGAATCATTTAAAATAACTCATATATGTCAACTCTTTAGGTCAAAAATGTTTTTTTTCTGAGTGATCTCTTCTCGGGAAAGAATCATCTAGAGGATGCTTGAAGATGTAAACAGATCTTTCCCTTTGCAGGTACTATATATTAAAGGCTATTGGATGGATCCGACCTTTGCTAATCTATTGATATAAATAGCCATAGCTGGTGTGTATGTGTACCGAATTCTAGTGAGATTGGCGTTTCCTGTTTTGTTTTTATTTACTCAACTTTTTTTCTTTCTTGTCATTACACTGCCACAAGTACAAAGAAACAAACTCTCTGTAATTAACCCATCCCCTTGGGGAGCAGTGGGCTGCCATTGTGGGGCACCGGGGAGCAGTGTGGGGTTAAGGGTCTTTGCTCAGGAACCCAGAGTGGCAGTCTGTGGGAGTGGGGCTTGAACTCAGAACCTCTGGGACCAAAGCAAATGCCCTGACCACTAGGCCACCACTCACTCTTACCAAAAGGGTAGATCTCTTATGTATTATTTTTCACCACTAATCTCGAGTCTGAAAAAAAAACATTAAAAGGAATAGCAATAGAATAAAATATAAACAAAATTATGATAGACTTTACTTTATGATATTACTTTATCAATACTTAATTGATACTCGTACTCGTGGTCTCCTGCTTTATCAAGGATGG